GACACACACAGACACACACACCAGACACACACAGACACACACACACACACACACACACACACACACACACACACACACACACACACACACACACACACACACACACACACACACACACAGACACACACACACACACACAGACCATGCACAACACACACACACACCACGATGGCGGCAGAGTCTGAGATGATGATGCAGACCTGGCAGCGGAGATGTACAAGCACGTCTGGCCACTTTTGGTCACGGACATTTTGTCTCACTCAATCACACAAACGTTATCTCACTCCAGCCCACAAGCTTTCGTTTTTGTCGGGGAACATGTCTGCAGGCTCCAGCGGCTTTGGTGCGACGCAGCAATGCGAATCGTTTCATTGTGAGACTTTGCACTCTGCCTTCAACCGTCCCGGAAACATGCTCATTTTTGCAGGTGCCAATGGCTTTGGTGTGACACGGTTATGCGAAGGGCAGCCGGTAGCTCGGACTTGGTTTCACTGTTGAACAGTTCATTCTACCAAAGAAGGATCAACACATGATTGATATGTGGAGGACATCAGGTAAACGCAATTTCGTCTCGTGTTCACTCTAGTTCGTTCGATTGCATTGCATATCTTGCCCACAATCCACTTTCCCAGGCGTGTTCAACGTGTTCTATATTCTTTGGCCTCAGTGACCAGCACAGAACGTCTTTTCACAGGCCGCGGCCCGTGATGGGGCCCTAACCGAATGCCGAGATGGTGGGTCTTCAAAGCCTGGATGTCGAAGTCGAACGGCACACGAACAGCCAATGTGGCACCAGTCACAAATCCACATTCTATTCCGCAAGACATCGAAATAGATGTCAATGCATGTCACCGCGGTCTGGCATGCCCCACTCGCTTTTCCTTCTCAATCCATTTTCGGTGCAGTCTCACAACCAGATGAAGCTAATCCGTGGAGTTGTTGGAATCGGGCCGTACTTCCAAGATGTACACTGCACACACCGCCTTCCTCTTACAGTCAGGCGACTGTGTACTGCGCCTATCCGACTCCGGAACCTCGAGATGCTCCAACACGGCCAGGCCCCTCAGAGCAGGGGCTGGTCGAAGATAGCCAGATTCTCGAGTGACTCCGTGGCTCCGATATCCCGAATTAACCTCGCAAGCCAACTGGCCTTGGCAATATCCTGCAGGACCCTTCACATGAAAGCAGAGTTTGACTTTGCCACTATTCGTCGTTAAAATGCCCAGTGGTTGTGGCGTTTCCACATGTGTCCCAGACTTTTCCCACAGCTGGCAAAAAAAGCTCTGTCGTCGAACATGCTCCCAAAATGCGTTGCCCAAATCACTCTCATGCACAGCCCGGATCCGGGCGGACGTGGATCTTGGATTCAACACACCACTTGGCACTTTGGCTTACTGGTTGGCCATAAGGGCAGCTGCAGCTTCAAGACCCAGCCGGCGCATCCGGCCAACGACAGTACAGTCGCCCAACCCTGCAGACCTGCGAGTACCGGCAGTGCTCCCTGTTGGTCAGCTCTATCAAGGCTAATAAAAACATGAAAACAACTCATGACACATGAAGATAATGAAGACAAAGAAGCAGAACCTCAGTCAAATGATAACAACGCATTAGAAAAAAGCTACATAAAACGATGTAGTGGCCTTGAGCCAACAGCCCTAAGGTTTGAAGGCCTGCGGCTTGAGAGCGCCGCCAAACATTAGGGAGTTCCACACCGAATACCTAAACATAATGGTGACACATCGTGAGCTTGTGCCGCGATCCCAACCGGTCAGACTCTCCAAGACCCTGCCTGGCGTCTTGACATCCGCAGCCTGCTGCTGGATGTTCAAGCCCTGGAGTTCAACCTGGGGGCGCCCGTTGTTAACATGTAAAGCACGCTCGGGTATGGGCCAACTTCGCCTACCGTTCCCATGGCATCGGAGTTTGTCGCATCTGGGTGGGCTGCGGGAATAGCTAGGAGATCCACCTTCCCCACCGGATCCGCGCTCTACCGGCACATACAAGAGCATTGGAAAACATCTGCTATGCGTTTGTTCATGTAAGCACAACTGTCTATTCATGCATGCGTGGGTATAGATGTGGGTGTGGGCATGTGTACAACGTGTGCATCATACGTAGAAATCTGTATTTATAAAGCTGTATGCATGTGCGCCTGCGTGTTTGTACTTCTATATATGTCTGCATCCGTATGTGTACATATACTGCATCTACAAATGCAGAGAATGGTCATTCCCGGGACAGCCCTCTCCAGCCGTGGGCAACCGATCCACAAGCCTACAGTCCCAAATCTACCTTCCGTCTACAGTGCCGTCGGTGACAGTGCCGTGCTTGGTTTGGGGCGCAGATCGTGGTTTTGCCAGTGCGGCTTAAGCGTCGGGGTTTGAGGGCTATTGGGTTGATGGAGTTGGGATCTTGGGATCACGATCTGGGGCTTAGGGCTTTGGACTTTGGTTTTTGGCTCTCTCTGTCAATGAGCAAACATCGTCGTGAAGGATGGGAGGCTGCCGCTCTCGCACCCGGTCCCCCCCCGGCCACGAGATGTTTTCGGTGATCTTCCTTTTTGAACGTTTGGATTTATCTGCTCTCGCTTGGTACGAAGCTTTGGGCGAAATCTCCTGGAGGTTTTAGCAGTCATTGAAATCTAGGCAAACACAGTTGACGTTGGGCTAACGTACATAGGCAGCACCTGGCCAAGTTTGGACGCTGTAGTGAGGTAATGTAGTAGTTACAACCTGCAAGCACTACTTCTGTTCAAATACAATACACAAACCAGTTGAACAGGATTCTGATGGCTAACCTCTTGAAGCTCACACAACGCTTAACTAGATTTCAAGCGCTCTTTCATTCATATCTACTCCACAGCTCCAGGAATGATTCAATCTTGGTGAATCGTCGTAGTTGATTGCAGCAATACAACTTTCATTTATATTTATGTAAGACATAGTAGTCCAGCACCAACGGAAGCTTCGAGATGTGGACTACCGCCTGTTTTAACAGCTGTTTCATTGAGAAAGAAACAACAGCAAATACGATAAGAGCGAGTAAAATATTACTCATTAACGACGAGATCACAACATGTTGAACTGTTACACACATGCCTGTAGCTTCCATAATACATGTTTGAATAGCGAGATGAGCCAGACGTTCGGTTAAATATCACACGAAGGCTAGTTAGTTAATTGGATAGTGACCGAAGGCCAGTCATGTATGATTCGACTTTAACTACATGGGCATTGCATGTGTGCTGCTTCAACACACACTTGAAATTGCTTATCAATGAGCAACATACCAATATCAATCAGGTTAAACGAAACAAGTGATTTCGTGTGATGACAACCTCATGTTGAACGAGTTATCAACTATTGCTACTCGTGTCAGAACTCTTTCAGTTTCAGTTGTGTTAGACTTGGAATTAGACAGGGCTATACCAGTTTAACTCAACTCAAGGTTAACCATCAATTAGGTATCATGCGAATATGTATGCAAGTGTTCCCTGCAAACTAACTTATAAATCTGCGGCATATAGTGAACACATGTGTGTCTGTATGTCTATGTATATATATATATATGTATGTATGTATGTACACCGTATATAAGCAGATGTCATCAAATATATACGATGTTATAGCATCATATATCAGACTATATCATACGATACTTTAATAAGGAAGAATATTTACATGGAACTTGATATACTCGCTTAGTTCTAAAACTCTGCATGTATATGTATATGTATATATGTATGTATGTATGTATGTATGTATGTATGTATGTTTATGTATGTTTATGTATGTTTGTGTATGTGTATACATGGATACCTGTGTGTATATATATATATATGTATGTATATAACTATGTATGTATGTGAAAACATAAACATGTACACACATCATATGTACATATATATATATATATATATATATGCCTGTATGTGTGTATATATATATATATATATATATATATATATCCCTGCATACACACATACAACCTGCCTGCATACACACAGTCATAGATTTATGTAGGTGTGTTATTAAGCTTGCGGAACTACCTTCCGTCTGCTTGCGGATCTACTTTCTGTATGCGTCCACGGTACTCGCATGGACTGCACGGCTGTGTCCAAGTCTCGGCGATGCTGCTCCGTCAAGGCCGCCAGCCTGTTTGAAAGCGATTACCGACTTTGCGACATTGGCTGATGGCATCAGGCAAGTAAGTCTCCATTCGTTCACATTTGCCGGTCATTAGCTGAGGGGCTGCTGCTCATGTCGGGCCACCACTCTGGCCACCACTTGGAAGACGTCCTGAAAAGACGGCAAACAGGCTAACAGTGCTGTCGAGACTTCAATCGGCAGGCACCGAGGCACCGTAGTCTCTGTTCGAGATGCGGTGCTCAGCCTCTGTTGCGTTCACAAAAACCCCTCTTAGATTGCAGACACGGTGCAAGCATTACTGGCATCGAGTCCACAAAGCTGTGTCCGCCCTGCAATGTCTTCTTGGGTTGAAGCGAGTCTTGCTTTAGGCGATTCGAGGAATCACTGGGCTTGGAAGCTTGCCACCGCCGCACAAACTAATCTTCGACACCCTCAAACCACCCTTAAGCCTGAGGCTCGAAAACCCCGACACCCTCAAACGCCCGAAGGGCCTCCATTCCTTCAGGAAGGGGCGCGGTGCAGTGAAACAAGTGCGGAAGCTTGGCTGTTGCCTCTCTATCGTCTTTGTGTGAGCTTTGAAGGATGGGATCTTGATTCCATGAGCGCAGTGTGCATGAGGATATTCGGAACGGGGAGTGGCTCAGTCTCATCAACTGTTTGGAGCATGCAGTCTAGCTTCCGCAGGTTCTCCGAGCCTGAATTTCGACGGATGCGAAGCAAATTGCAGGACATACAAAGGCCAAGTCAGAAGGCGCCCTCTCAGCCTGAAACTCGGAACACGACGTTCACTAAGCAAGCGCAGTTCACTCAAGCGTGGGCTTCAACTAAGATCTGTGTAGACCATCTGCTCGCCTGAAGAACTTCTTCGTTGGCAATCGGGCGGTTGTCAGAACCTGTCGCAGCATCGCATCCGGTGCGGCATCCTGACACCAACACCAAGTAGCCGTAACCACCAGCAGCGCAGTTCTAGCTCTGCAAGCGATGCTGACGCTCCTCAGCAACCAACCAACGCCTCCCATGCCTTTTGATCGCAGTCTTCAACCCGACGTGTTGCTCGAACAAACTATGGTGTATGGTAGGTTTCCTGTTGAGAAAGCTGGAAGTCAATGCAACCTGGTTCGGGCTTGTCGCGGATACCAGGCAGGCGCGATCGGAGTATTCTCTCACATATCCCTCGGGCTTGCATTGTGCAGCAATGATATGTATATCCATGCATATCCATTCCAGCAGGCCGATCGACCTTTGCGCACCATTCACATGAAGTTCTTTGCGCCGACACACCAGTCACTAGTCGTCGTGGGACAAAACTGAAAAGCCTGTATGAAACTTGGCTGAACCAAACATTGGAGCATTGTGTCGGATCTGTTTGGGGCGCGTGCCCAGTGGCTCGTCCCAGCGAGGAAAGCTCACTCCGTCGCCTGCAATTAGCATTGGAGATGCAGGATTGGTTATCAAAGCCTTCACACTTGCGGGTTCATGATTGGCCCGAAGAGCAACTCCCCAAAGCATTGGGCTTTGGGACTTTGAGGTGGAATAGGTAGCGAAGGCGCGCCCTGCGGTTCGTTGCGCTGCCAACCCCAACGGCCTAGCGGCTCGAACGGCTGCACTGGGAAGAACCAATCGGGCCTGGCAATGGGCCGGCTAGGTTGCGCTAACGGACATGTCTGGCTCAGCTTCCATTTGGGGCAGGAGCCCGAACACGCCAAAGACCTGCTCCAGGTTGGCGAGCTTGCTGCCTGATTTCAGTCATTCTCACGGAGACCTGCGCATCATCTGCGGTAAGGTCTACCGACAGAGCCAAGCCACCCAAGTCGTAGGGATTTGCCATGTTGTCGTAGTTGGCCTGCTCTCATTCAACCCTCGAGTTCGTTTTCCCACCGTGCCCAAAGACACATGGACCCCCCGCACGTCAGCGCAGCCGAATAAATTTGAAGTTCTGTGCGCGTGAACTGTATAAATTCGTCCTGACAGGTCTCCATGTGCACCAAACTAATGCTCGTGCATGCGAAGCTTGGCTCAACACAAGGCCGCTAATTCTATGCAGCAAAGCATCGCCGCGCTGTTTTCGCTCGGCTACCGCGAGCCGCCCTGCTGCGGAATTGTAGCCACGTTCACGCTGAAGGAAGTGCCCTACACATGCGGCAAATCTTGATTCCACATTGGTATCAGCACTTGTCTGACCCGTTAGCTGTACATGGGTTTTCCCCGCCGCGCAGACTTCTCATGGAATAGCATACCTTTCTCCATTTGATCCCGTAAATCGCTCGCCCTAAATGACCTAGTCAGACCGAGTCAGACCATCGGCCAACTGACGCCGAGTGGGGATCCACATCAGTCTGGCTTTTGCGAGGTTGCTTCCCCGAGTGGTGAAGAAAAGTTGATGCAAAAGCACTGCGTGCACGAAGCTTCCCTTCTCACTGACATGCTGGCCGTGCTTACGAACCGCATCATAGATGCTCTTGCAATCAATGGTTATCGTGACAGGACCCAAATCTTGCCAATCGTCCTCTTCGACAGCCGACAGCCGAGATAACGTCGGAGCCATACAAGATCTCGAACATGAGCACTTGTGTGAATCGTGCCAGATTATGCTTCATCAAGGCTCCGCAGGTCTCTGCGGCGAAAGATGATTCGACCACCCTCCGATTCGTCGCGCTTCGCCAATCAATCAAGTTCAGATGAGCTCTCGCCATGCTGAGTCTGAGTACTACCCCGCTTGACAAATCCCAGGCAGACGCCCTTTTGCGAATGCGCGAGTTTTTTGCACCAACACTGCTACACAGCCCGGCAAGCTTGGAAAGTGACTATCTCAGCGTCATGTCCAAGGGGCCTGAAAACGATCTCAACACGATTCTTCACAGCTTCCTTCACCGCGCGGTTAACCCTCTGAAGATCTCTGACTCTCAAGTCGACGATGTGTTTCTGAAGCTGGCTGCACTCGAAAGCGAGGTCCGGGCGGCTCTGACCAGAAACTAGCCACTGAAGACTTCCTATCGCCGAACTGGAATTTGCGATCCGTGTCTCCGCCGCGCTGGCATCAACATCCTGAGTCCTGCTGCTGCTGAGATCGATTCGCATCGGCTGCAACCTTCCGTCAACGAATGCATTCTGGGATAAGGGGACACAGTCTTCGCCGCCCTGTCGGATAAGTTGAATCTCTTTACCACAGTATGTTACTCCCGACGGTTGCTCCGACACCTGCATCCGGGAAGCGCTCATGAAGCTTAGAAGCGGCCTTATTCCCTTCAGCTGATCCATCATGACAAATCAACACACCATCAACATGTACAATCATTAGCGCTCCCAAACGTCCCTGCGAATCCCGCAAACAGAACAGAACCGGATCGACTGCGGATTTCTGGAACCCGAGCTCGGACTGAAGAATCCTCGACAGCCCGTTGTACCAAGCCCTAGGAACATCAGATCTACCATGCACAGGCTTCAGAAGCTTCAAGATCTGTCCAGCAACGAGACCCTTCAAACCTTACATCACTTCAGTACCCTCTAGGACTCTAGGAGTGCCTTGCAGAACAGCGTTGGGGATGTCGAACCGAAGCTGGTGACAAGATGAAGGAGTATCATGGTAGAATCTCTCTCAATGGTACGTGAGTCCACTTGGAGTTTGCCTGTCTTGCTGTCGGTGCACAAATGCCCTTGTAGAAGCAAAACCTGGCCTTAGCTTTTACTCGGAGGTCTTTGCCCGAGCTATCCTTCAACCCAGCATGCTTGTTTCTAAGAACATATCTGCTCGGAAAGACTCTGCCGCGCCTCTCCCTCTCCACTCGCCGACTCCAAAGTAAGAAGCTCAGAACTGGTGTAATCGAGCCATGATTTCCACTCCTTCTCTTCAGCAGCCCTATACAGTTCCCGACCCCGATCGCATGTCGGTACCATCTCAAAAGGAATCTCCTTCTCTATCATCCGACGAAGCTTAGCCTGACTCTGAGTCTTCCTCTTAATTACCCGACGGGCTGTAGGGATATTTTGGTTTTGGCTGGACGACGAGGATGCCTGAGCATTCCTCTGACCCGCGCGATATGCAGGTCCTGCCTTGGCGCAGGTCTCTCAGTCATCAGCCTCTGCGGCTTGACGATCCAGCTCGCGGCGCCTGGCGACAGCTTCGTCCAGGATCTGTTGCCGTCGTCGCTGCCAGGCGGCATCGTGCTGTGCCCGGTTCTGAAAATCGCGGTCGGCGATTGTCGGTCCGTGCCAGTGCGGTACCGCTTCTACGCCTTCGCGCCGGCCTTGCTGATACTCCAACTTGTGGAGTTCACGGCTCATATAACGTGGCGAACCTGCAATCGGTTTCGCGACGCCGATCCTGAGACCAGGTCGGTCTGGCTATCGGGCTGAACGTAGTCCAAGACTTATTGACGAGCGTGCGCAAACGCTCGAAAAAGTTCTTGCTGTGCCCAATAGTCACCCAGCTCGTCTATGTTGTACGAGCCAGGGGAACCGTCAGATGATCCTCCAGGGAACGGATCACACAGCTCTGCGTCGGCTCGGAAGCTTTCTAGGAGAATAGCTTCCTGATAGACACGCTCCAAACGGGGGTCGCGACTTCTTGCGAAGTTATCGGTAAGATCCGGGCCCCCGGGGCTAGAGAGAAGAAGCAGCTACTGCGAGAACACATCGACGCTAACGAGGTGGCCTTCTCCGTGGTGGGGGACATCGCTAAGGCCCACCGACGCTACAAGCACGCCGAGGGCGAGCAAGGCTACCTCGGTTGCCACATCGACACTGAGGAAGCTATTCCGGGGGACCTCGACAGCCTACGTGAATCTGGTGGGGACCTTCGGGCTATCCTGTGCTAGCTACTGGTGGACCCGTATAGCGGCGTGTGGGCTTCGGCTCACGTACCACCTGCTAGGGCCTTCGTTCCCGCTAGACACTACTCTACGCCGACGACCTCGAGTCTTTGGGCCGAGGGTCTAGAGGCCGCATGGGGATCCCGCCAAGTTACCTCTACCTCGCTAGTCAGTGGCTAGGCGTGGAGACGGAGTACTCCACGTGGAGGCTAGGTCCGGTCTTTCACAGAAAAGGACCAACTGGCTAGTGGAGTGGCTGCGCGGGCTAATGCGTGAGGGGAAGAGCGAAGCCCGCCCTTTCGCACAAGCGACTGGGTTTCGCCTCCATGGCGCTAGACTGGGAACGCCCCTTCCTGGGACCGCTACACGCCTGGTCGTCGGCTATCCAAGGGAAACCGGGCCTCCTGACGCTACCCACCATGATCCGCGTCCTGTGTGGATGGCTAGCAGACCGTCTCGAAATGGTGGCCGCCTGCAACGTCCGGCCCCGCTATTATTGGATGGTGCGGCACCGCTATCCTTCTACACCGACGCTAAAGCAGAAAACGGACGGGCCTGGATTGGAGGCTTTCTGGAGCTAGTGGGTGGCTGCCACGGCCCTCCAGGGGATCCGATATGCGGTAAAACTCCGGCTCAGCGGTAGTTGGCTCGGGAGGCGGCGTCTCCGGTCCATCACCGTAGGCGATCGGATGGATCCGCTCCTCCAGGGCCAACGCCTGCGTGACGCGCTGCTGGAAGAGACCTAGAGCTGTTCCACCGCCTCGGGATTGAGGTCGGCGGTGGCGTCATCAGCAGTGATCGCCTGCACCACAGGTAGCGCCAGCTCCATGGTGTCCAGGATGCGTTCCGAGACGGCTCGCCGTTCTCGGTGAAACTCCTGTGGCACTTCATCAATGAATGTACCACACATTCGGCAAAATGTTCGGGACGTTGTCCTCGAACTACCCCCGTGATCTGTTTCCTCACGCGAGCATACAGCGGGGTCGACTGTGTAAACATATGCTCCCGTCGGTCCTGGGATACATGGCCACAGTCGCGGCACGTCTTGCGAACGTAGTTTGCAGAACTTCCTTGGTACGAGAAGTCCGTACACGTAGTGCACCGATCCGTTGGACTCCTCGTAGCTCGGATCTTCTTCCTCCTGCCGGCAAGGCAGGAGTGCGGGTCGTACTCGGCCTCGTCCCCGAAGGCAGGGTACGAGGTGTCGTCGTATTCCTCGGCATCGTCGTCTTCGCGTAGGCGCGGCGGTTGAAACCCTCAGACCTGTTCTTATCGTGGTTGCTCCGGCGAGCACCGGCATGGTTGTGACGGCGGTCCTGAAAGGTATCGCCACCTAAGGAACGACCTTCCTTTAGGTGAACGCCGCTGTAGTGCTCCACTAGGGTAGCAGCAACGGCCTCAAAGCTGCGATTGTTGGCAGTGCACGCCTTAATGACAAGTCTTTCCTGCCGGCTAAGGCCGGACAATTCGAACAACAATTCCACACGCATCGGCTCAGAGAGCTCGATGCTGGCGTCCAGGGATTTGAGTAGTTTCCACCAACGTCGTCGCCGGCTGACGTACGACAACATCGACTTGCCGCCTTGGCGTGCGAGGACACCGTGCTTCTGGCCTCCACGGAAGAGCTCTCGAGCTTCTTCTGTTGCACGAGGGAACACCACGTTCCTCAATTGGGTAATGAAGTTCCTGAGACCACCTGGTTCGGTTAAGGATTCTATACCGATATCCCTGGCAAGCTCGAAGGCTTCATCCCGAAGTCCTTCCAACACATTGTGAACCATTTCCGTCCTCGCCTTGACGGCGTAGGACGTCATCTCATCCATGGGAGGCATGGGAGAAACGGAAGCCGAGTCATCAGACTTCGGCGTGCTAGGCCGTGGCCTCGTAGGAGATCCAGCGGCCTCGGCAGATGCTGTAGGTGCATCCATATCGGGCCTGTCCTCAGAGGGTACAGGTGCAGCGGATGCGGCCCGCGTGGGGCTCGCATCATGGAATGTACTGGGGGTTCCATCATAGATATAACTACCACTCCTAGTCTCCAGGGGAGTACTAGAGAACCTGAGCAACGGACATTGTGGCGAAGGTGGATTCCTCCCCGAGGAGGGGTAGGAATAAGGCAGGGGAGGTATCCGGAGGGTAGAGGCAAGTGGAAGGAAAATGCGAGAATTGAAGGGAGTACGCAGTGGGTCGATGAAAGGCTCGCCCGGGCCTGCACAAGGCTACCTGGTAGCTAAGTCCCGCGGGCTGGTGCACCGGGGTACCAGCGCCGCTACCAGTTTGAAATTGGCGGACTTTTCACCGAACTGCACAGCCTGATATGCTCAAGGGGCCCCTACGGCAGACATACAATCACAAGCAGACATGTCATGGTCATGGCTTCTACACATGCACAGGCAACGGTGATTTCACACAAGGCTTGGTTCAAAACTAGGCCGGTACTTCTATTAGTCTATACAGAAAAGCATCGCGCATCGCCGCGCATTTTTTTCACTCGGCTACCGAGAGCCGCTCTGCTGCGGAATTGCAGCCACATTCACACTCAAACTAGCTGCCCTGAACATGCGGCAAATCATAACAGGTCAGGCATCCACACAATCTTTCACAGTGCAGACCATTCGGGCATCATGAAGGAAAGATCGATATGATTCGTTGAACAGAAATGTCAGCAGCTGGCTGCAAGCTGATCGTATGTTTACCTAATGGTCATCAGGCATTGTTCATGTGGCTTGACACAGCTCTACTTCGGACCTGAGACACTGCACATCGGTATCAGGCTCTGCATCGTGCCTTTCGTGTCCCAGCCCTCGCATCTCTTGGCGGTGTCGGAAGGGGGCTACATTAATCTTACACTCTCACCGATATTCCAATTTGGCTTGCGAGCCCAATCCAGATCCGATGATGCCCTCAAAGTCAAGCCGCTCAGCCTCAATGGCCGTTGTGTTGCTGAGTGCCAGTGGCACGTGGGTAAACCTGCCAAAGACGGATTGCAAGCTTTTCTTTGAGTATGTAGGAAGTCAACAGCATGATGGGAGTGCCATTGGGTTGTTTTTTGGGGTTGTTGCTATGTGCCCTGCCCTGCCAACAGGGATTACAGTCTCTGAACACCAAAAAAACCGCAGGTTTGGCTCCAGCTCCTTTTGTTAGGTTTGGCCCAAGCCTCTTGATGCCTTTATTGTGAATGACCGCCGGGACGGAAGCACGTGCCGTCGCATGCCCTGGATCGCGATTGGGAATCCATCTGATTGGGCTGGCCTGCACTGAAGACGCTTCACACTCGTTCCGATGTGTTTTCCGTTTCTGACAAATCAACGGGAGACAGCTTCTTTAACATTCTGGAGAGCGTTCGCAAGAAACATTTTCGTTTTGGGGAACAGCCTCCTCACCCAGGCCTTCCCGCATTTTCTGGAAGACAACCCGGCTGTGCCATGAATGATTTATGAATTGCTGCTCCTCCCAAGCCAGGACCCGGTCACCCCTGAAAAGCGGCTGAGTGCTTGTGCAGCACTGCACATCTTAGGGCCGCACAGCATTGGCAGCAGCAAGATGCAGAGGAACACGGCGAGACCTGCATGGTTGGAGATTACGACATCAACTCACCCCGTGCTGGCTTCAACTTCCTAGCACAGCCGCTTGGCCAGTAATTCATGAAAGATCGCATCTGCAAGCTGGCGTGGCAGAGTGATTCTGAGGCAGGGTTCTTCTGTTTAACTAAACGCTCTGTGCGACTCGCCTTCAAACATCATAAAGGCCACCATGTCCGTGATCTGAAGATCTTCCTGCCCCGGCGTGCTCACTCATCGGTCGAGCCCGAGGTCAAACAAAGAAAGCCCGACCGCGCCTTTGAGAACAAATATACTAGTCTTTGAACTGGGTGACTGCTACAAGGAGCATTGACTCAAAGTCGAATGCGACTGTGCCTTCCACAGGTTGTCTTCAATGCCGGCGAGTTTGCCAACGCAGAGGAGAAATTCCCGGAAGGACGTGGCGATGCCAATGAACTGCAGAGAATCCAGGATAGCAGCTGACAGGGAGCAATTCAAGTTGAGCTCTGAGTGCAGGTCCGATGCTAAGCTGCCGTAGATCACAAGCTGCAAGAAGAACTTGTAGTTGCCAAGCCCAACCTAGGTCACAGCAGCGATACAGCAGCGCCACGCAGTTGGGTGGCACGGAGCCGCAGAACATCCCGCACAGTAAACGACTTCGATGAGTGACGGCTTTGTCGATGGCAATCCAAGCCAGGCTTGGAGTTGGCAAAGGCACCCCCACACACACAACACACAGACACAGACACAGACACACACACACACACACACACACATTCCCCGATGCGTCATGAGCTGCAGGTGTTTTTCAGCACATCGGACTCTGATGTCGACAATACAATATGGGCAACCACCCTTACGGCACAGAAGAAACAACTCCGTGACACAACTCCATGCTGGCTTAGCCTTCCTTCACCACACCTCGTCGAAGCGACAATGAACTGCAAGACCAAGCCAAGGCCCAAGGAGACCCGGTGCTACTGGTATCAGGCAGATCCACGGGGTGCAAAAGCATCGAACTCAATCAAATCGACACCGTTCATCTCCGTTCAGTGCGCCGTTATCGACATACCGTACTCCTTCTGCAACAGACAAACGCAGGACGGTCCACGAGATCCGCAGCAGCTTCAGCTTCAGCTAATGCAGATGGGAACACAACTCAATCCCTTCCGAGCGACACAGTTGTTGACCCAAGGGCAGTAGTGGTCCATGCCTGGAAGAGAGGCTCATTTGGACGCCACCGGGCTTGGGCAGACACTCCCCGTAAGGATCCGACGCAGGACGCAGAAGCCACTGACGTTGCAGTGGTGAGCCTCTCACCAAAAAAAACACAGACACACATGGAGACAGATACAGAGCAAGGCGCTGGGCCGTGTTGGCCAAAGCAGAGGCTGAGCTCCAAACCCGCTCGGGTCGTGGGATGCTGCATTTCCGGCAGAAGGTCGCCTGCCAATCCACATTTCAGAGTCAAGGAAGGCATGCTCAGCTCAGCACTGCCATCGAAAATGCCGCACTCTGTCTAACTGCTCCGGCGCGTTACACTCACGATCGTTGCCGAGCATGACCTGAACTCCGATAACTCACCCTGCTGCTAAATCCAAGTGGACAAAGCCAGGCTGCTTGGTCCCACTTACCAACATTTACCAAAACGTGCTTCCCGAGACACAAAGGCTCACATCCCAAGTGCCGACTTCCAAGTTCCGCCGTGACGCCTTCCCTGGTGTCCATCTGGCCGTCGAGGGGACGACAGGCAGAGCCTCATGTGCGGCCCCGTCCCGAAGTCAGGGCTTTTGGAGACCTCCAAAAATCTCCAACCTCAATTTAACGGATGATGCTGCATGATGCTGCAACAGCTGCAGGCTGTAAGTTTTATATATTGAATACTGCGAATTGTGCAGCCCCTGGTAGCCGCCCCACGAAAGCAGTTGGTGCATAGGTCTGGTAAGGTTGTCTTGGACGTTGAGACCTGTTGACCTTCCAAGTTACGAACAAACCATGGGTATCTCACCACAACCGCCACAGGCTTGTCGCGACAGACGCTGAGGCAGAGAAGTCCAAGCTCTTTTCTGCAGACTGTGTGCTCAAGTTCAAAGGCCAATCTGAAAAACGAGGACAAGGATACAATACTCAGCCTTCTATTCACGGGGCTTTTGCAGATGTCTTAAAAACCCAACAAGAAAGGTCGAGGCTTCGGCGGATCCGACCTCAAGCACGAATTCATGCCACGAAGTCGGGACCTCAAAGCCCACATGACCATGGCTCACCCAGCAGGGACAATGCCGTCCCAACTGATAGGGAACACCTGCTAGGTAGAGCACAACCTTGGGCGTACTCAGCACTTCTAGTGGAATGATGCCTTCACTCGCTACCCGTGCCTACCGTACCCCCGCCCATGATGTCGGCTCTGTGCATGACTCGATTTGGGGACATCCGCTGCTCCTCTCCTACAACTCCTCGAAGGAAGCTCAACGCAACCTGATCAAGCAGAGAGACCCGCTTAGACTCTAGATTCTAGATGAGACCCGCGCCCGCCCTGGATCAGCCAGAAAGGCCCGCAGGTAGGCACAAAGGGCCAAGACCTTGGGAAAAGGCCGGCAGGAGAACCCTGGGCCCTGGACAGAAGCTGAGGACGGCTCGGAAGCTCAGCAAAAGCACATCGTCATACCAAGGCAGCCGCCCAAACGATGTTGAAAAGCAGAAAGAAGAAAGGCACTAGACTTGCCTGACAGCTACTTCTCGAGACTTCCACGACATGCGATGTGGCAGACCTTCTCCCACAGGAATGTTGGACATCTGCTTTTGAAGACCTGCTCCCGCTCCTCTTTCATGCACGAACTGGTACCCTGCCTCTCCCAAGGCGGGCAAGACTCGTCCCAAAAAAATCCTGAGCGAACTGAAGGGAAAGGCTTGGGGAGGATGGCGATCACGGCCCGAAGATAACACTGTCACTGCACTAATCCGAACAGCCGTCACGTGTCAAATTAGTTCTCTCTCGAAACTCACTCACCACCATCAAACACGCGAGATGCCGTCAAGATGCAAGTTGTAGGACGTGCCCTCGTAGATGAAGACGCAGAGGGTGACGGACATGGTCATCTGCAGGCAAGCAGCTCAGGTTTAGTTTGAGAGATGCCTGAGATCCAGAAGCCATCTTGTGCAGACAAACATTGCACAGCAAGCCGGTCATTGTAGAACATCTTCTAGATTCGAGATCTGTGTAGTGTGGGAGGACATCGTACCAGTCGTCTCGAAGTTTTCGCCGTGGGATCTCCTGCGATGCACCGCCTGGAAGAACATGGCCGTGTTCGTCGTCACGTCGCACGAATACTCTTTGTCTTTGGCATCCTCGCTGCGGCTACTTGACTTCTCAGCAGGTCAAAGACCGACAACATTGCGGCTTGGCTTCCGTACCACACAGAGTCCACATCTTCCAAGTAAAGCAATGCACTCACCAATACTAGTATCCTTCTTCAAGAGTCAAAGAAAGAAGCGGAAAGCCTGGTGTCGTTCTGAAGCCCTGTCAGAGAGCTCCTCCATCACATGTGGTGTCTGCACGAGGCGCACCTGCTCCTTGCAATCAAACATTGCCAATGCTTGCATTTCCCCTCCATATACTGACTCACTACGCATATATTCTACAACATACATAACTACAAACATACATAGGTACAGGCATACACCTAATCAAATGCAGAAATACACACATACACATACATGTACACGTACATGTACATATACACATACACGTACACTTACAGATAGATGTGCCTACAGTTATACATATACAACATATACGTACACATACAGACACACATATACACACAGACACAAATACATACATACATACATACATATAGACACACATATGCAGACATGGCTAACCAATACATGCACATACGCATATATACATCTTCATTTTTTCTTTGATGCGGCTTTACCTTTTCAATGGGTTACATAGTTAGTTCGTTAGCAAGTTAGTTAATTTGCGTGTTTGTTAGCTAGCTAGATATCGAGTTCGCTACTCAGCTAGTTATAGCTGTCACGGCTCACCTGCTGTGGCGTGGCCACCTGGTCTACCGTAAGTGCAAACTTCCGCGTAGTGGTAGCTGTCCACTCAGGAGCACATGATGCTAATATACACCCTTGTTTGTGTCGTTAATGTTGCTGTCTTGTTATGCTTAGGGGCTGCTCACTCTAGAGCTTGGGCTATTGTAGGTGGTTGGATGGTGAGGGGTTTTCTTCTGATTACTTCCGTAGTGTCGTAGGCCAGCTTGGCCTAACCATGGCAGCCAAGCGATGTGCGTGGGAGACCAAACATGATATCTGTGGGGTTACTTTGTCTGATCCGGCTGAGTTGTCTCTCGTTACAGGGACAACATGCTCGGTATGGCTTCCATTCCTGCAGCTCAGATCAACGAGACTTCAGAGGGACTTGCCTTCGTGACCCATGCAAGATTGCAAGAGCTCTCAACGATACGAACCAGCCGACCGCGCGCTCTGATTCTCAAAGGGTTCATTTCCCAGAAGATTGTCAGCCTCGGTATCGCATCGAACCGCACGTGCATCAGATAGTTCTTACGTTGTGGGATGGCGTAGCTTCTTTAGTAGAGGCTCGCGCTGTATCCTTGGTAAACCTTGCCGTTGATGAAATGGATTTCATCAACAAAACCCATTCAGATGATGAGCTTGCGTTGCGTGATGAGTCAAAGCAGTTTTGTTTGAAATGCGTCAAGCAGAGGCGGCTTCTTCTGATGGGAAGGCATACGGAACAGTGGAGGTCCTCCACAAGACTACTGAGAAGCAAGACTACTTTGTGCGCAGAGTTCAGATTCCATCCGGTTCTCGCGATGCCGTTTACCGGCGTTCAGGTGCATGCTCAGTTCAGTGCCGTGCAGTTCGGGGACCAGGGGATCCACAAGAAATCGGTCTAGAGGTTATGAAAGCGCACGGTGAACGAAACCTCGCGGAATTCTTCAGGTTTGGAGAGAAGGTCTTGCAGGGCACTTGGGAGTATTTGCCTCGCAAGGCGCAACGTATGTTAGGATTGCAGAGCCTCATCTAGCGGCAGCCCGTGCACACTGGTTTCCTGGCGATGAAAGGTTCAACGAAGCTAACTCTGCAGTCAAGCGCTCCATGACGTTCCACATACAAGGACTCCCCGCAGGCTCATCAATGAATGACGTGATCACCGCGGCTAAGACGTTTGACTGGGATATAGTGCCCATTCGAACTTACCACTATCAAAAGCTAGCTTCAGCCATTACTGCAGCACAGGTTGAGCCGAAGCACCCGTGTTGCTACCAGTCTTGGCACTCTTCTCGTCACCGAGGAAGTACGACAGTATCGGAAGGCCAACAGAAAGGATCCGTCGCAGTCGCAGCCCCAAGGAGAGGCTCTAACACCATCCTCAATTTTTTCGAGCTCTCAGAGCCCCCAACTTCTCCACACATCGGCCAGGTCCGTCGTTGTTGCCTCCACCCGATGCGGTCATCCATGGCAGAGCGGATGCTCTAGAGAAGCAGTTGGGGCAAGCAGTTAAAGATATTGAGGCTTCACTTCGTGATCAAAACGACACCAAAGAACAGCTGAGGGACTTGAAAAGTTCTCAAGATGTAGGTTTTAGGGATCTTCTTATGGCGATTCAAGAGCTCAAAGCTGGCAGCTTCGCATCAAACAGCTCTCCGGCGCACGCCGTTTCACCACCTACGAAGCAACAGCGAGTTTAATACTCGCGAGATCAATCTGGAGAGCCGTTGATGTGTTGAGCTTCTTCTCATCCGCGACTTTGAGAGACGCTCGCATTGCCTGTATCGTAACCGCTTATGCTTGCTTGATGCTCATGGTCCTTCACATTAAGATTTGGCTTTGCGGGCTTCTTGTGGTGGTTATCCTCGCGTACTGGGGGTTTCCTTATGGGGTGTTCAAATCTAAGGTTAAACAAGTCAGGGTGAGACGAGTTTTGCGGATTAAAGTGCTGTCTGTCACCATGGCTTTGTTTTTATCTTGCTCCTATTGCCCGTTTTATGTTAATGATGCTGTGCCTTTGTTTAACATGGGTCATGGTACAGACAAAATTACTGACAGCGTGAATCAGCCCGACTTTATTCATGTGCACAGTGTTAATCAACACTTCGTTTGCAACTTCAGGTGCGAAGCACCAATCGTAAAGGCTGGCCCCATCCGTGGGGATTTTTGTCATAGCTTCTATGGGACGATTGAAGACGCCTTTAGTTTACATTGTGTTTCGCCGAGCCCGATCTCTTTGGAAGTGTTTGTTCCGTGTAAAGGATACAAGGGTGAAGGGCCTTTAACCATCGTATCTGCAAACCTGACTTCATGTGTCAAAAATTTTGCGCGCATCGCCACCATAGATGCCCACATCGGCGATGAGGGCGGTGTGAGTTGCATGTTCCTGCAAGAGAGCAGAATCCCACAATCGCAAATTACGAACATCGCGCGACGGTTTGAAAAAAGGGCTGGAAGTTAACTGCCGGGTCACAGCCCAGTACTAGGAAACTGAAAGGCGGACAGGTGGCGAGATACCGTCAAACTACAGGTGGGGTGGCAGTAGTGTCAAAAACGCACTGTGTCACGATCCCGGTCTCTGTTCCTGATTCCTACTCTTCTATTCAAAGCTGTGGCCAAGTTGTTTGGGTGTCGGTTGGGTGTTTCGGTTTTTACGTGTTTAATGTGTATTTGCCTACAGGGAAAGGTGCTGCTGCAGATAGGAACGATCTTGTGGATCACATCTTCAGTTTCGCAGCTTCTCTTGGTCATCACCCAATAGTGTGTTGCGGGGACTTTCAAAGCCCGCCGGAAAGCAATGCATCGATTGTCACGTCGTTCGTAGCTGACGAGTGGTTTGATGTATATGCTGAACAGCAACAGGCACTGGGGTTACAAATCGAACTCACCTTCCAAAAATCCAACTCGCCTCATCCCAATCAAGAGTTTGGCAAGACTAGGATACACTATTTCTTGTTGTACAGGCATGCCTTACCCCTTTTTCAGTCTGCATCGGTTCTCCGGGGCGCCGGTTTCCCTAATCCTTCGCCGTGCACGCTTACCCTAAACATTGAACCGTTTCAAACCAGCATCCTTGTTGTCAAGCCTCACCCTAAATGGTCACGCGAACCCTTGCCCTGTAAAGGGCCCGAGTGGGAAGAGCGTGAGAGCGCAATCAAACCAATAATTCATGGGTTTATGCCCTACCTTATTCAACATGCTGCGTGCCGTGATGTTGAGGCCTTGTGGACCACTGCATGTGCCGCAGTTACCAGTATGATTAACACAATTACGCAACAATCTGTTCCTCCAACTAGAGGTAAGAGTCCGTCGTTTAGGAAGGCTCCGTTATTCAAGCGCGACATCCAAAAACGCTCTTCCAGTTGCTTTAACACTGCCCTTAGATTGGTGCATGAGATTCGATGCAAGGCTAGAGCATGGAAAGATGGCGCGTCTTCAGGGTGGATCTCACAACTGTATGCTACTATTTCTAAGGCCTCTAATGTTGCAGCGAAATGCGGGGTTCATGCACTGTTCAACACAATGTCACCCTTACAGCTGCAAGCTTCATGTGCATCCATTAAACAACAATTGGTGAGTGCTTTTGATGTTTGCGAGACTTTTCGGAAACAGCAGCTGATCGATCAGTGGAAGAATAAGCTAAAGTTGTCTGCGCGAGGCAATAAGTCCAGGGTCCACAGATGGCTGAAAGGTGAACGTGTTGGTCAACCCAGGTTTTTCCGCCGTGATGACAATAGCATTACAACTGATCCTAACGGACATGATCTCTGACCACATGGAGTTTATCTACAAGTATCATGGTGACAAAGATGTAGATAGAATGGAGAGTGATTTCTATGACAAAATACCAAACAGCTATATTGATAACATAGCAGCTGACGCCGTTGTCCCAAGTATTGTCCACGACGACTTGTTTCGGTTGTTTCAAAAAAGGAGTAGTTTTAAAGCCTCGGGTTTAGACGGTTGGAAGGTTTCGGAGCTCCAGCAGTTACCACCGTCTGGACGGATCCCGTTTGCTCTTGTCATGATGCTAGCTGAAGCCACGGGCATATGGCCAGAGGCGCTTACGTTTGTTAGTATTGCTTCAATTTCCAAACGTGTAGATATGTCTACCCCAAAGAACATTAGGTGTATTGGCATCGCCTCTGTCATTTATTCCTTGTGGTCCTCGTTGCGATATCGTCATCTTGCACGGTGGCAAGCTTCAGTTTTTCCCCCAAGTTTAACCGGAGGCATTTGTGGACGCAACGGTGATGAATCGGAATGGCTGTTATCGATGGATCTACATAGTGAGCATACCGACACCATGGCACTGTTTTTGGATCGGTTCAAATGTTTCGATATGGTCATACCGCAGGTTTCATTGGGTATTGCCAAATGTCTTGGGTTGCCGAACCACATTCATAGGGCTGCCTTGGGCTTTTATGCGAACCAAACCAAGTTCCTCAAATTGGGCTGTGCTTTCGGTAGGAGGGTTCTTCCCAGTAACTCGGCTGTAGCTTGTCCATTGTTATGGTTAATTCAGCATACGCAGTTTTTGCCAC